AATTTAGTCCAAAAGGTTTTTAAAACCTGTTTAAAAAGTTAAAACTTATTGTATTGGACGGTAAGGAAATTAGATATTGAATCCAATGGTCAGAAATCGTTGGGAGCGTCACATCCAAAAGTGGGAGTACCACAACGGGAGCGCTGAAGTCTACACCTATATATATATATATATATATATATATATATATGCAGTTATACAAATATGATATTAGAGTAGTATAATAATTTGGTAAAAAGCTCCTGATTTAATATCCCTAATCATCCTAATGACACGGACCAAGGCCTTCCGACACATAGAGGCGGGACATGCCGAGGAGTTTGAAGGAGATCAAGGCATGACATTGGAGGTTGCGTGGCATTTGGGCCTTCCCTAGCCCAAAAATGCGCCTGGTCCGAGATGCCCCGCGGTGCCCCGGCTCCGACCCGTGTGTGCCCGTAGTCCGGCCCGTGCCACCAGCCACTAAAGCTTCTGGAATTTTCCAGACGGGTCTAGCACCAGCCAGCACCAGCCACTCACCAGGCCAACTCCGGCCAAAATGTGCCAGAAGGTTCCACAAGGTCCTACACCGACTTAGCTTAATTCGTTAGGCTTTGTACATATGCTAGAGAGTTCTAGAGAGCCTATAGGATCGTGCCATGTGGCTAAATCATGGCCGTCCATTCCATGAGGCCTCACCTATAAATAGGGGGCCTCCATATTCATTGGTAGCTAACCAATTGTGCAGCAATATACTTGTACATTGCCTATACTCTCATTGTTTACCTTCCCACACTTACTTTCCTACAAGCCTACTTGTCTTCAAGACATTCCTTTGCTAGCTTAAGCCCTAGCAACCAAGAGTAAGGCTGACTTAGGCATATAAGCACGTTATCCGCTCAAGCCTAAGGCCGCACGGTGCATACCTAAAGTGTGAGCCCGTGACAAGTGGTACCAGAGCCATTGTTGATCTGCTGAACCGAATCTAGGAGTCCGACAGTATGGCAAGCATCGAGGCAACATCTCAGGGGCCAACTACTAGGAGCCGAGCCCATCACCAACGCACTGGCTCGCGGGAGGAGCCCTATAGCCTTGAGGAGCGCATGGACCGCATGGAGGACGCGGTGGAACGCATGCATGAGGCTGTAGAGGGCATGGACACTCGCGTGGTAGAGCTAGAGGGTGATGTAAAGAGGCTGCGAAGAGAGTTCCAAGGGGCCCTAAATGAGGGATTCGACCGGCTTTCCAAGGAGTCATCAGAGCGAGACGATGCCCTTGAGGCCATGATCGTGGCATTGAGGCAAGAAGTGGAGGAACTTCCCCTCATAGTGGCCTTGCGGAAGGAGGTTGAGGAGCTCAGGGAGGAGCTCGAGAGGTGCAAAACCGCCGTAGGAAGGGGTGTGCTAGCGAGCATGCCGACCACAAAGGTGGACGTGCCAAAGCCCAAAGAGTTCAAGGGGACGCGTTCTGCCAAGGAGGTGGACAACTTCCTATGGGGCATGGAGCAATATCTCCGGGCATCTAACATCACTGACGAGGCAACCAAGGTGAGCACCGCTTCCATGTACTTGGTTGATATTGCCTTGTTATGGTGGAGAAGGAGGGCAGCGGCCACTCCTGCTATTGAGACTTGGGAGGACTTCAAGAAGGAGTTCAAAACCCAATTCTACCCGGAGTATGCCGAGGATGATGCTCGGGCCAAGCTGCGGAGGCTCACTCAGCGGGGCGAGGTGAGGGAGTATGTGCGCGAGTTCTCCGAGCTCATGCTCCAAATATCCGACCTAGACATGAAGGAGGCAAAGTTCATGTTCTTGGACGGGCTTAAGCCATGGGCTAAGCAAGAGCTTCAACGAAGAGGAGTTGAAGACTTAAACCAAGCAATGACCGTGGCCGAGTCATTGATCGAATTCAAAAGGCCCGAGAAGACCAACACGCCCAAGGAGAAAGGCAAGGGCAAAGTTGGGGGAGACCGGGACAAGTCGAGCAAGGGAGGCTCGGGTAAGTCCTATTCCCATAAGAGTGAGTCTTATAACAAGGACAAGGATAAAGAGAAGTGGCCACTAGCATGCTTCTTATGTGAGGGGCCACACCGGGTGAGGGACTGCCCCAAGCGATCCAAGCTCTCGGCCATTGCAAGGGAGGAGCAGCAACCCGAGAAGGAGAAGGAGACTCTCAAGCTTGGATCAATCCTACTATCCGTTGAGTCCAAGAAGCGACGTAAGAAGGGGCTCATGTTCGTGGACATAGAGGTAGCAGGCCACAAGGTGAATGCTTTGGTAGACACAGGGGCCTCGGATCTCTTTGTGTCCGAGGGAGGCGCCAAGAAACTTGGCCTTAAGGTGGACAAGGGCCAAGGTTGGATCAAGACGGTGAACTCCAAGGAGGTACCGACCATGGGAGTTGTACAAGGAGTCGAGCTCAAGCTAGGAGCATGGTCGGGCAAGGACAACATCGAGGTGATCCCTTTAGATGATTATGACTTCGTTGTTGTCCTTGATTTTCTTGATCGCATCAATGCACTCTTGGTGCCCTTTGCTGACTGCGTCTGCATACTTGACCCCCGGTGTCAATGCATTGTTCCCGTGAGGAGGGAGACCGGGCAAGCTACCATGACCCTATCGGCCATCCAACTAGCCAAGGGCGTGAGGAAAGACGAGGAGACATTCTTGGCTGCACTCAAGTTGGATGAACAAGCCATGGAGAAGGAGCAAGCTCCGCTCGAGGTGCTCGAGGTGCTCGACTCATTCAAGGACGTGATGCCTAGGGAGCTGCCCAAGCGACTTCCACCCAAGCGAGAGGTGGATCACAAAATAGAGCTTGTGCCCAATGCACAACCGCCTGCCAAGGCCTCATACTGGATGTCGCCACCAGAGTTGGAGGAGCTTAGGAAGCAACTCAAGGAACTTATTGATTGTGGCTTCATCCGTCCATCCAAGGCACCATATGGAGCACCGGTGCTGTTCCAAAAGAAGCATGATGGGTCCTTGAGGTTATGCATCGACTATAGGGCGCTCAACAAGCTCACTTTGAAGAACAAGTACCCCATTCCGCTCATTGCAGACTTGTTCGATCAGCTTGGAGATGCGAGGTGGTTCACCAAGCTTGATTTAAGATCGGGGTACTATCAAGTGCGCATAGCCGAGGGGGACGAGCCTAAGACCGCATGTGTGACACGGTATGGCTCCTATGAGTTCTTGGTGATGCCCTTCGGCCTCACAAACGCTCCAGCCACATTCTGCACACTCATGAACAAGGTACTTCAGCCCTTCCTAGACCGCTTTGTTGTAATTTATCTTGATGATATTGTGGTCTATAGTCGTACCTTGGAGGAGCATGTGGAGCATTTGAGACAAGTCTTCGAGGTACTCCGGGCTCATGAGCTATATGTCAAGAAAGAGAAGTGCTCATTTGCCCAACGAGAGGTACCTTTCCTATGCCACATTGTGGGAGGTGGCCGTATTCGTATGGACCCGAGCAAGGTGCAAGCAATCCTTGAGTGGGAGGCGCCCACTAAGGTGACCGAGTTGAGATCGTTCCTTGGGTTGGTGAACTACTACAGGAGGTTCATCCAAGGCTACTCACACCTCGCCACACCCTTGACTGAGCTACTCAAGAAAGGGAGAACGTGGGAATGGAGTCCAAAGTGCCACTAGGCCTTCGAGAGGCTTAAGGAGGAGGTGACCAAGGAACCAGTGCTAGCCTTGCCGGATCACACCAAGCCATACGAGGTCCACACGGATGCCTCTGACTTTGCTATTGGGGGTGTGCTTATGCAAGAGGGACATCCGATTGCCTTTGAGAGCCGCAAGCTCAATGAGACCGAGCGGCGCTACACGGTCCAAGAGAAGGAGATGACCGCAGTAGTCCATTGCCTGCGCAAATGGAGGCACTACTTACTTGGGTCGAAGTTCGTGGTGAAGACCGACAACGTTGCCACGAGTTATTTTCAAACTCAAAAGAAGCTCACACCGAAGCAAGCTCGTTGGCAACATGGTGGCCGATGCACACGACTTAGAGTTCGAGTACAAGCCGGGGAAAGCCAACATGGTGGCCGATGCACTAAGTAGAAAGGTCACCCTTGCTGCCATTAGCCGCCCCGAGATGGACCTAATTGCCCGTATCAAAGAGGGGCTGCATCATGATCCAACTGCTCGAGCCATAGTGGAGTATGCCAAGGAAGGAAAGACACGACGCTTTTGGCTCGAGAACGACCTCATCTACACGAGGGGTAACCGCTTGTACGTGCCTCTCTATGGCAAACTGCGCAAGGAAATTCTCAAGGAGTGCCATGACTCTATGTGGGCCGGCCATCCAGGTACACATCGAACCCTAACACTTGTGGAGGAACGCTATTATTGGCCGCGCATGAGGGACGATGTGGAGGCATATGTGAACACTTGTCTTGTGTGCCAACAAGACAAGATCGAGCAAAGACTACCAGCGGGACTCTTGGAGCCGCTTCCCATCCCCGAGCACCCATGGGAGAGCGTTTCTATGGATTTCATAGTGGGACTGCCCAAGGTGGATGGGTTCGCTAACATCATGGTGGTGGTGGACCGCTTCTCTAAGTATGGTACGTTTATCCCGACACCTAAGGAGTGCCCGGCCGAGGAAGCAGCTTGGCTATTCCTGAAGCACGTGGTGAAGTATTGGGGTGTGCCCTACAACATTGTGAGCGACCGGGACAGCCGCTTCACTAGCCGATTTTGGACGGAGTTGTTCAAGCTCTTGGGGTCTGAATTGAACATCTCTACCGTAGGACATCCCCAAACAGATGGGCAAACTGAGCGGGTGAATGCCCTATTGGAGCTATACTTGCGGCACTATGTGAGTGCCACGCAAAAGGATTGGCCAAAGTTGCTAGACATAGCCCAATTCTCATACAACTTGCAGCGGAGCGAGAGCACGGGGAAGAGTCCTTTCGAGGTTGTCATGGGATTACAACCGGCCACCCCGAGTCAGTTAGCATCGGGCTACACCGGCCCCAATCCAGCTGCATACAAGTTTGCCAAGGAGTGGCAAGAGCGAACAGACTTAGCTCGTGTATGCCTACACAAGGCCGCCAAGAGGACTAAGAAATGGGCGGACAAAAAGAGGCGGGACGTGGAGTACCAAGTAGGCGACTTGGTTCTTGTCAAACTTTACACCGCACTCAAGAATCCGGGGCTACACAGGGGGCTTGTGCGCCGATATGAGGGCCCTTTCCGAGTCCTTAGGCGAGTAGGCAAGCTGGCCTACAAGCTTGACATACCACGTGGGTATAAGTTCCGGATGCACCCAGTCTTCCATGTGAGCCTACTCAAACCATACCATGCCGACGAGGAAGACCCGGAACGGAGCAAGTCAGGACGTGCCCCATTTCGCATCACGACAAGGTTTGAGAAGGAGGTTCAATCCATCCTTGCCGAGCGGCCGGAGGGGCGAAAAAGGAAGGGGCGCGTACAGAAAAAAGAATACTTAGTGCTTTGGAAGGGGCAACCCGAGGCTGAGGCAAGTTAGGAGCCAGCCGAGGCACTATGGCAATTCGAGGAGCCTATCAGGCGTTTCCATGAGGAAGAGGCGACGAGGGCGTCGCCGAGCTAGTTGGGGGAGAATGACACGGACCAAGGCCTTCCGACACATAGAGGCGGGACATGCCGAGGAGTTTGAAGGAGATCAAGGCATGACATTGGAGGTTGCGTGGCATTTGGGCCTTCCCTAGCCCAAAAATGCGCCTGGTCCGAGATGGCCCGCGGTGCCCCGGCTCCGACCCGTGTGTGCCCGTAGTCCGGCCCGTGCCACCAGCCACTAAAGCTTCTGGAATTTTCCAGACGGGTCTAGCACCAGCCAGCACCAGCCACTCACCAGGCCAACTCCGGCCAAAATGTGCCAGAAGGTTCTACAAGGTCCTACACCGACTTAGCTCAATTCTTTAGGCTTTGTACATATGCTAGAGAGTTCTAGAGAGCCTATAGGATCGCGCCATGTGGCTAAATCATGGCCGTCCATTCCATGAGGCCTCACCTATAAATAGGGGGCCTCCATATTCATTGGTAGCTAACCAATTGTGCAGCAATATACTTGTACATTGCCTATACTCTCATTGTTTACCTTCCCACACTTACTTTCCTACAAGCCTACTTGTCTTCAAGACATTCCTTTGCTAGCTTAAGCCCTAACAACCAAGAGTAAGGCTGATTTAAGCATATAAGCACGTTATCCGCTCAAGCCTAAGGCCGCACGGTGCATACCTAAAGTGTGAGCCCGTGACACTAAGATATTGTTTCCACTTTCCATAATGAAAAAAAACACTTTTTTTTTGGTTAAATTCATAATCAAATCAAAATTTGATATATAAAAATCAAACGTTGATCCCCCAGCCCCCTTCCTTTTTTCCACATTGATACTATTGGCAAATTTGCATCCAGTTTCCACGAAATTTCCTGTCAGCTACTAATCACACAAACTGGTTTTGATTGAATCATATCAAATTTCTTGTTTGAATAAAAATTAAAATTAAATAATTTTAAGGGGGAAAATTCTTTTTGACCCTTCAATTTGAACTTCTAACTTGACCCTCCTAATAATTAAAGTAACAAATCAAATATAGATTTAGCCCCTAGCTATAAATATGGAGAGTTTGCAAGATAAATCTAAATCCCTTGATTATCATCTATTATTGAATAAGTAGGATTTTAGAAATTATAGTAAGTTTTCTAATAGCACGCTAGGATTGTAAGTGGAGGGTCAAATTGGATGGTCAAGTAGCAAAACTCTTATTGGGATAGGATCTCTTACCCTGTACCCAAAAAAAAAAGGATCTCTTACCAAAAATAACCTGTTAAATACTAAATCCATAGAAATTAGCTAGGCAAGCTTTGACATTTCCTCTGTTCCATTCTTACAGTATTTAAGCAAATCACTAAATCTTCATTGCTTCTATAACGAATAAAGAAAAAAGAGGACAAACCAAAAAAAAAATGGAAAAGGGATCGTTCATCACTAGGATTTTGGTCCTCAGCCTTGCAATCTCACCGGTGTTTAGTCAATACTACTCCAGGACAGAGCCATATACTCCCCCGCCAGAGAAAATTACCAATCTTCACTTCTTTTTCCATGACACCCTCAGTGGGAAAAATCCTTCAGCGGTCTTGGTAGCCCGTGCCAACATCACTGATGACAACGACTCACCGACACCATTCAGCAGCGTCATTGCCCTCGACGATCCCCTCACGTTAGGCCCTGATTTGAACTCGGGGGTTATTGGGAGTGTTCAAGGGCTCTATGTGTCATCCGGTAAGGATATACCGGGTCTGGTGGTATTCTTTGATTTTGGATTCACTCAAGGGGAGTTCAATGGAAGTTCCATCAGTGTGTTCTCGAGGAATCCGATTTTGGAGAACGAACGTGAGTTGGCTGTGGTTGGAGGCAGGGGAAAATTCAGGATGGCTAGAGGGGTCGCACAACTTAAAACTTTCTTCATAAATGTGACCAATGGTGATGCTATTGTTGAGTATAATGTGACTGTGATTCATTACTAAAGTGAAGTGCTATTTTTATTAATAAGTATTACTATTCATTATTATCTCAAACAATTGGCATTAGAACTCGTATTTTCTAGACCTAAATTAGTTGACAAAGAACCATTTAATTAGGCGAGTTTGATCCATCTAATTAGTCTTAATTTGTTTAATCTTTCTAACCATATCTACTAATTAAAGTATTGTTTATATTGGCTGCGAAACCATTCTCTGTTGAATTGCCTGTATGACGACATCAAAAGGAATAAAAAATCCTTCTGACTTTTGCAAACAATCCAACTTTCACATGAAAAGGAGTGTTCCAAGGAAAGTTGTTACGATATAACTAATTTGAGAGAAAGAATCAGAAGTAAACCACATTTTTTTCTTTCGTATTTTCTTTTGCAAAATAGTTGGCAATTGGGAATTTCTAATGTTTTTGGTTAAGCCCTTCACTAGGAAGCCCGATTTACTTTAATAAATTATATTATCAATTAGCAATGTTAGCATTCTCAGAATGAAGCACGATTTGATTTGAATAGTCATAGTTGACTTTTTTTTTTTTTACTTTGGTTTAAGGCTTAATCACTATTATTATAAATAACCAAGGGACATTAATATTGGGGGCATCATTTAGCCAATATATACTTCAACCCCATTCTTTCTAATTCTAAGAAACAAACACTATGAACCGAAGTTTGATACTGGGCTTGATTCTGGCCTTGTGCACGGCCACGGTACCATGTTGCCATGGTTATTACTCCAAGACCGTGCCATACAAACCTCGGCCACAGAAAGTGACCCATTTACACTTCTTTCTACATGACACAATGAGCGGCAACAACCCTTCTGCAGTCATCACCGTCCGTCCCAACATAACAAATGCATTCAGCGGCACACCGACATCCTTCGGCAACTTAGTAGTCACGGATGATGCGCTCACTGTCGGTCCAGATGCAAAGTCAGAAGTCATTGGAAATGCTCAAGGCATTTGGGTGTCCACTGGCAAGAACTTTCCGACTCTTTCAGTTTATATGGATTTCGGATTCACGCAGGGTGAATTCAATGGCAGCTCTATCAGTGTTTTCTCAAGGAATCCAATTGCGCAGAAGGAGCGTCAGCTTGCAGTGGTCGGAGGGAGAGGAAAGTTCGAG